GCTTTGAAACATGTTGAACGACCTGGCGGAAGCCATAAGGCGTTGGACGGAAAAAAAATGGGACAGCTGGACCAGCGGGACTTCGTGAAATGGTGCATAATTGTAAGGCAAGCTGTTGCACTTTACTTAAACGAATGCTAGATTAAAATGTCTTAATTCGGAAGTCAATTCAGTCGACATTGACCCCAACTGGAGTTGCCTCATTTGGCCCTATGGCACCATGTCGGAGTCACCATAGGAATCACACTAGATAGGAATGGATCATTGTAGTGATCCGGCAGGAACTGAATCCTGTAACATGCAAATTCGACGGGAACCGAATTGATCTACGATGAAAATTATATATATGTATATATATATATATGTACATATACATATATACATATATATATATATGTATGTAAATCACAGTAGACAATGACAGTATAAAAACAGCGATAAAATATATGTCCCCCCCAGCTGCGTCTTAAATGCGCCCAGGAGCGGGACGATAAAAGCAGGTACGTTTACCTGATCATCCAGTGTGGAGCTTCGGTGGCAGAGGCCACAACTGGAGATCCCTCTGCCCCCTGCCATAAATTAAAATAAAATATAATATAATATAAAGACGAAGTTTTACGTCTACTTAGGTGTGCTTTGGAAGTTGTGGCTATTATCACATGGTTTATAAATATGGTTATAAGCTTCATAACGTAGGTTATAACCCACGTTACGGAAGTTATAACATATGGTTAGTAACTTCATGTTACTGACTTAGTTGGGGGTTCCGAGTGTAACTTCGTTAATTTGTGAAAAAATGAAAATGTAACTTGAATATGTTATATCTTTTCAGAAGTTCGCATTTCTTTGCGGGAGGCTGCAAAAGCCGTCGTTGTGGGCTTATTTGGCACGCGCATTCCGCTATAAGTTTTGTCGCAGAAGTAATTTTTGAATTAATGGAAAATGGCGCAATGAACTTTCACAATCATTAGAAACCATCATGAAGTTCAGTTCTTCAGGACATCTTGCAGCGGAGCATCCGCTATATGACTTGATTTTTGGACTCAAGCAGTCTCCAAAATTGGGTTTTGCAAACAATAAGATGGCAAAAAATGGTTTGAACAGGAAAAACACCGTATACCAACCGTATACCGACCGTATACCGACCATATACCGACCGTATACCGACCGTATACCGACCGTATACCAAAGAGTCAATAGAAAACATAAACGTATACAAAAAAAATATCACCGTATACCAAACCGTATACCAAAAGACAAAGGGGACCGTATACCAACCGTATACCGATCGTATACCGAGTGTATTGCTAACTAATGCCAAGAATTGTTCAATCAACAACATGGAGCGGAGCACCCGCTTATTTTCGCACTCTGCTATGCTGGGAGCGGCATACCCGCTAATTGAAACAAATCTCCAACCACGTATTGATCATGTATGACTTGGAGCGGTCTATCCGCTGCTTCAACAATCACACCTCACATGGAGCGGAGCATCCGCTTATTTTTGCAGATAAATTTTAAGGTTATCGTGGACAATTTCTAGTAACATTACTACATTGCACTTAATGCTTCAAAAGTCTAGAAACATAACTTCATAGTAACTTGAAAAGACATGCGTTTTGTAACTTCGGTAACATAGTTATAACTTCTGTTATAATTGCCACAACTTCCAAAGCACACCTTAGTAAACATTTTCGCCGTAGCTCGCATCCTGCCATTTGATCCATGGCCAAGCCATCCGCAGTTGAAAGCTGGACGGCAGAAGACGAAGCCGCAATGCAGGCTTTGCTCGCCCGTCATAACCGGGTGTCTACGACTATGATCGGGGATGCGCGCTCAGGGAACATGCGGGACGCCTCCAAGAGGCGTTGTGATGAGAGTGAGTCGAGTTTTACTCATCTCGACTATGAGGATTTTGGGAGTGCGGATGTTCTGGAACCGCTCTATGTACAGGAATAGACGCATGGGAAGTCATGCATGGTTGCAGCATCCAGATCACCCATGGATCCTGAGATTGTCAAGCGTTTGCCGGATGGAGTGGAATCTGTGGACCAGTGGGGAGACACAGCCAAGGCTTTTGTTTGAGAAAAAGGCCACATATCACATATCGTGAGGTGATGGAGAAGCCTGAGCATGCAGGCTGCAAGCTATCGCAGGTGGTGTGAAGATCATCTTTCTCCAACCACCAGCAAAGGGGCTGTTCTCGACTTTATCAAATACATGGAGGTGTATCGTCTTTGCTGTGGACACCAGATGCCTCTTGTGACTCCGGGCACAACGATTCAAAGAACTTTTCGTCCATCTCAGAAGTGAGATGTCCTTTTGGAGAGATTGGTTTTGCAGCGAGTGGCAAGGAATGCAATTTCTGTAAGCTCTTGGGCCGCTTTGGGTTTGAGCATTTCTGGAAGCTGCATCAGCGGGATATAGAAGAGAGACACGGATGCCACGTCGAAAGGGGGTGTGAAACTGCATTGTTGCAGGGAGCGCCATGACATCCATGGTGGAGTATGCCTTTTCTGCATGATACATTGTGGTCATGCCGAAGCGCCTGGTGGCTGCGAGAAGTCCTATCACGGGATGGATCCATTTCTGCATTTGGGGTGTTTTCAGCTGAACCAAGGCAGTTTGGTTACTGCATTGGTTTTCACTGGACGATTTGCTGCAGAATGGTACATTCAAATTTGAATTCGGTACGAGAAGCAGCTATTTTGGTCGAAGCATCTGAATTTGCTGCCTACAGATAGATTAGATAGATAGATAGATAGATAGATAGATAGATAGAGATATAGATATAGATATAGATATAGAGATATATATATATGTATTTGTGGAGATGGCTTTGTCGTGATGCTCGACGTTACCGTCTTCGCGTATATATCTACCCATCTTCAGAGGATTTCTGAGCTGGAAGGTGCTGTTTATTCGGTATTGCATGGTATTTTGTATATCAGTAGACATACAGCATCTGGAAATGCTGATTGTCGTTGTACATACCATCTTCAAAAGTTTTCTGAGTTGGATGAATTTGTTTGAAACCGTTTTGAGAACATTTGAGATTGTTTCGAAGGCTTTTGAACTGTGGATTTTGCATGTGACAGTTTGAAGTTTGTGCATTTGTTCATCGGTAGGTCGTTAACATTTGAACCCGAAATGCTTTTGGGTTTTCTCCCACATGATGTCCAAGGCCATCATTTGTCTGAAAGGTCCGAAGAGACTTTGTTGAAACCTGAGATGGCGACTGATGGGAGAAAACCTACCTAAAGGGGTTTTAATGACCTATCTTGGTGAACTAATTCGTTTTGTAGGGTTTGTAGATCTAGGGATTTGTGAACCTGAAACCAAACAGTTTGGACGTCACTTATTTTGTGACTTTTGTCCAAGAAACATTTGAAGTCATGTAGGCTTTGATGTACCCCAGGAATTGTTGAGACCTGAAATCGAGTTTCCTCTGCCGATTTCGCTTTCGAATGTAGCTACATGAACTGACAGCTTTTCGTGCTTGTTGTCGCGTGCAAAAGGGGGCTTGAAGCGTGCAGTGTTGCAGGTGTTGGTTCTTGAGATCATACTTTGGGTTGAAGGCTCTCACAGTCTGGGAGGCTTTGATGAAGAACCAGGTCAGGTTGAACAGGGGTCCGGAGAAGGTTTGGAAGAAGGTCTGGGAGGCATTGGCGCAGAGCCAGGTCAAGTTCAACAGGGTTGCGGAGAAGGTTCCGGAGAAGATTCCGGACATCTGGGAGGCTTTGGTGCAGAGCCAGGTCAGATTCAACAATCTGTGTATTTGCGGCCGTTGAACTCACGGAAAGCCACCTGACGTGTTTCCAGCGCTTGGTTTGGCAGCACGCTTCAGAAAAATTGTAAAAAAACTGTTGCCGCTGTTGGGGATACCACCGAAGCTCATTTACACAGAATTGTTTGTGAGTTTGTGTACATATGTACACATGCATATGTGTATATATTTGTATATATATATATACACATTTGTATATACGTATACGTAGTTTTATGTATACATTTTGTTTCGCATATGTATATGTATATGTGTAGTTTATGTGTTTGTTTTTGTAAATGTGCATGCATTTGTTGATGTATATGTATTGGTACTTGTGTATGTATTTGTGTTTGTATGTGTAAATGTATAAATATATATATATATATTGCACATGTATGTAAAAATGTAAATATGTATAGACATGTATATCTGTAAACATGTAAACATGCTTGTTTGTATACATGTTTTTGTGCAGAGATGTAAAAATGCCTCTATTTGTATATGTTTTTGTAACACAAAAGGTGAAGGTTGCGGGTTCCACGGAACGTTATTTGAAAATTTTTCGTTTTTTTTTCCACGTTTTTGGTTCGTCCTTAAATAGCAGAGACACTCTAAGGCCCCCACATATGGACACATGAATTTCTGGAAAACATTTCTGTTTGCACCATTCCCTTTGTGACCACTTGCAGTGATGTCAAACCAATGGACTTCAGTTGGACCTCAGATGGACTGCGCAAGGATGACACTGCACAAATCGAGAGGAGATGTGTAGGTAGATTCAATAGCGTTCACATGAATACCATGTGTATGTACCAGACCCTGTGGTTCAGAGAAAAGTGACGCTGCCTGCTTCGCATGGTAGCGGAGCTATCTGGTGCTTCCTACCTGCAAGCGTTGTCGTTCACTGTTGGGGCGTGGGACGCAGCCATAGCTCCATTTGCTTCCTGGATTTCTGGCCCTAGCAATTTTCAGTGGGAGGACAGTGGAATTTTCTGCAACTGGTAACCGAGATAGGTTTGTGACACACTGGATTGGAATTTGATACACTGGACATTGAACAGTCTGCATACTGTCTTGTCAATACCTCAGTTTTTGGCGTGGTACAACTCTGAAGGGTGACATTTCGAGGTGACTGGCGTGGTGACAAATTTTTCCAGGTGTTTTCAGTGGGCGTGCAAGCTTGGTTTCTCTTGTTTGGAGGTAAAGTTTGAGGTGAAGCGCAGTTGCAGTCATGGCGCAGGAGTTTAGTCCGGGCATATTTCAAGCAGCCTTACTTGAAGTTGCAGAGGCCACCAAAGCTGCCACAGCTGCAGTACAGGCCATGCAGGTTGTACAACAGCAACAGCCTGCAGTTCCACAAGGCCAGACAGCCCAAGCTTCTGGCAGTCCTTCAGGTTCACCAACAAGTTCAACAGACTGGTCGAAACTTGTGAATAAACCGCCAGTGCTGGATGGGAAGAGCGTTGAAGATGAAATCAGAATGTTTCGGGACTGGCTATGGATGGTCACACAGTTTCTGAACACCATAGATGTTGGATATGAACCAGAAATTCAAGCAATAGTGGACAGCCCTTCAGCCCCCATGGACATGTCGACAGCTACCTCAGAGACGAGACAGCGTGGGGCCAAGCTTTACGGCCTTTTAGCCTCCCTATGCAGAAACAGGTCTCTCAGCATCATCCGTAGTGTCAAGCAGGGTGATGGCTTTGAGGGTCTTCGTCAGCTGATCCTGAATTTGAGACCTTCCACAAATACAAGAGGATTGGCACTTATGGGAGCTTTGACAAGTTGGCCATCGTTCAATATGAATCAGTTGCTGCAACCTCAACTGTTGAAACTTGAGGAAGCCTTGGAAGAGGCCAGAAGAGCTGGTTCAAGCATACCAGATCAGTTGCAGCAGGCGATCCTTTTGAAGTGCGTTTCAGGCCAGCTCAGGACACACCTCAACTTGTCCATCCAAGAAGCTACCAGCTTCAAGGAGTTGAGAGAACAAGTGCTCAGGTGGGATCGTAGCCAACAGAAGTGGAGCAACCTCATCTTTGACGAGTCTTCAACTTCGACTCCCATGGAGGTGGATCGTGTCTACAGAGATGGGCGTAGCTGGAATAACAATGGCAAAAAGGGCGACAAGGGCAAAGGAAAGAACAGTTTTTCTCAGAAAGGCAATCAGAAGGGAAAAGTTAAGGGAAAAACAAAGACCAAAGATGGGAAGAGCGGACAGAAAGGGAAGCAGAAGAGCGACATACAGGGCAAAAATGGTGGGAAGCAGAATGTTTCAGGGAAAGGAAAGGGTAGCAAGCCAGATGTTACCTGCCATCGGTGTGGCAAATACGGGCATTTTGCTCGTGATTGCTGGGGAACTTCAGTGCGACAGGTACAGAATGAAGGCTCAAACAGTGTTCAGCAGTCTCCTCAAGGCCAACAGACCTCAGTTGCTGCTGGAACGCCTTCATCTCAGACAAGTTCTCAAATGCCTGTAGCTCCTCAGCAAGGACGTATTGCCAGAATTCAATTTGCAGATGACCATGTCTCAGATGTTTTAAAACATGATGAGTTGGTTTTTGACCTCAGAAGTCCATGCAGTGCTTCGAGTTGCTTGGAGGGAAACGTGAGGACGTTGCAGTTTTTCATCGGTGACGAGCCCAATGCAGTTGAGTTTGATGTTGAAACGGTTGACACAGGTCTTGCAGTTAGAACCATGTTGGAGGATGTAGATGATGTGACTCAAATGCACAGCATTTTGCTGGATTCAGGTGCCGATGCCTCAGTATTCCCAATCAGCATGGCAGAACTAGGTAGTCCTTGCAACGATGTTCACACAGTCTTGCGTGATGCACAAGGCCAAGCAATTCCACTGCATGGTTACAGGGATGTTGAGCTGCATCTCATGGACATGAAAGGACGTGCCACCGTGCTCAGAGAGACAGTTGCGCTGAGTGACAGGATCTCCCAACCTATCCTGTGTTTTGGACACTTGCTGGAGAATGGATGGAGTGTAAATGGTGTTGAACAAACCCTGACTCATGGCTCTGGAATTTCAATCCCAATTGAGCTGCAAAACAAGTCAATGTTGGTGCGTGGATGGGTACGCATGATGAAAGATGAACCTCAAATGTTGGAACCTTTCAGTATCAGGGCAGTGCGTGCTGAGCTCTTTGAGGAACTCTCATACATGCGTGTTGGTTGGAACCTTAGTCCCGAAGGGGTTGGTTCAGGAAAGCACTATGGCAACAGCTTTCAAGATCCTACACTTGTTTGCCCAACAATGTCTGGAAGGAAGTTCAGAACTACGTTGATCAAGGATGGCGACCAATGGCTGGTCATGGAATTGTGCGAGCCTCTGGAAACATTGATTGATCTTGCAGCAGAGTTCCATGGGTATGAAGGTGACAGGTTCATCATCACAGTGATTACACCCAGTGAGAGACCACCTAATGTGATGGGCTTTCGAATGATGGATGACGATGAGATTCAACCTGCGGTGCAACTTGAGTTTGAACAGGAAAGACACGATGAGGGTGAGATTGCACCTCTTGCGCCAGAGGACGAAGTTGCAGGCATGGACATTGGTGGTGATGTTCAACATGATGCAGGCCAAGCAGTTGAAGGTCAGCTTGTTTATGCAGACAGGGGTGATCACTTGAATGTCAATGGAATTGAGCTTTTTCCAACCAGTGCACTTGCAAACTTGCGTGAAGCGTGTGCCTTTTACAGCTTGTCACAGTCTGGAGGGAAGGAACGTTGTTTCAAGCGCTTGTGGGAACATCAGAAGAAACTAGAGCTCCAGATAGCTCTTTCTGCAGCACGTGAGACAGAGGCTGAGCAGCAGAGGAGGCCAAACCCTCAGAAGCTTGCTGAGCCACCTGATGAAAAATCACAGCAACTTCACATGCTGACCCACTTACCTTTTCAAGAGTGGTGTGCTCACTGTGTTGCACATCGGTCACGTCCAGACCGACACAAGCGTGATGGCCAAGTCAAAGAATCTGGTGTGCCTACAGTGTCATTTGACTTTGCATATACAAAGGCAGTAGCTCCAGGTGGCAATGCTCAAGATACAGATCAAGTGATTGCTCTGGCGTTGGTTGACTCAATGACCAACTACACAGGTTGTGTGCCCATTTCCAAGAAGAACGACTTCGACCTGATGGTGCGTGAGATCTTGCAGTTCACCCAGGTTTTGGGGCACAGTGAATGCACATACCTGTGTGACAATGAGCCTTCAATCTTGCAAGTACAGAAGAAAGCAGTTCAAGCAAGACAAATGATGGGACTGGTGACTCATAGCAAAACACCAGCAGCCTATGACCATGGAAACAGCTTGTGTGAGAACACTGTCAATCGTGTGCGTGGATTGGCAGGAACCTTGATGCACTCAGTTCAGGAGCGGCTTTCAATCAAGTTGAACACTGACCATGGACTATGGAGCTGGGCGCTGAGACATTCCAGCTGGCTTCTCAACCGGTTTGCAGTGGTTCATGGTGCTACGCCGTATGAGCTGGTGTATCACAAGGTTTACAAGGGCAAAATGACAGAGTTTGCAGAACCAGCATTTGCATACACTCACACGGTGCTGAAGGGGAACCCACGTTGGCAGAGGGTCATTGTCTTGGGCAAAACAGAAGCTCAAGATACCTATGTGGTTTTCACTGGACAGTCAGTGATGTTGACCCGCTCAATCAGAAGGATCTCAACTGACTGGAAATGCCATTTGGGTTTCTACTTGCACTTCAATGCCCCTACATGGCGTTCCAAAGCTGGATTTGGAGGACGTGTGGTGCCAACCAAACGAGCGGTACCAGCCAAGTCTGCAAGTTTCAGTTTGCCTCAAGGACCTGTTTTGCCCTCACCTTTGCATGACAAGGATGCTGAAGATGTAAAGCAGAAAAAGGTTGAAGAACAGGCTGAAGAGCGTGAAGCCTTTTCCATGGGTCAACATGACCAACGGGCAGAGCCCAAGCAATATGACGTTGAACAGCTTGAAGGAATGCATGATGACTCAGTGACTATGCAGCATGGTACTGGAGTGGAAATGGATGCACCTTCTTTTGCAGCCAGACCCAAACGTCCTGGCGAAGTGGAGGTGACCAGTGTTTTTGATGATGCTGTGGCTGATTCCTCTCTTCTTTCACCCATGGAAGCGCAAGTTGATTCTTCAAATGACCCTGGTCTTGCGGCACCAGTGACTCCACCTGTGATTGCACCTCAGCTGCCACCAACTCCAAGGCAGCAACATGCTACAAGAACTCATGGTGATGATGTTGAAGAAAGCCATGAAGCAAAACGTGCGAGGTTGGAGTCTTTGAAGAAACAGAAAATCAATCAACTGCGTGAGTCTCATGAAGCAATGATCAGAACAGTCAAGGTTGGTTCTGATGAGTATGCAACAATGGATGACTATGAGAATGAGGTTGACATGGATGATGGCCCTGACACAGAGTACTGGGAAGATGAGGATCAGCTCACCTTCAGCGATGTTCCAGATGCGTTATGGTGTGCAGGAAGTTTGGAAAAGCAGCCACAAGCCCCTGAAAGCTGGGTTGATGAACTGGCAGACCAAGTCGAGATCAGCCGTTTGCTGAGCATGGGTGTTCTCCAAAGAAAGGAGGAGTGCTTGGATGAAGTCGCAGGATCCTTGACTACCAGGTTTGTCTATGACTGGAGGATCAAGGACCATCCCAATGGGACCAAGCAATGGATGAGGAGGAGCCGGTTTGTGGCTCGTGAGTTTGCCACAGACAAGCGCTCTGACACCTACAGTCCAGCTAGTGGGTGCCATTCAGTGAACCTAATCCCAATTTGCTACCTGAAGATGCTTGCCGAAAGTTTGGACAGCGCAGAAAGGTTTGATGAGGACAGCAGCAGTCCCTATCGTGTTGTGCTGGCGGCATTGGACATCAAGGATGCCTTTCTTCAGGTTCCCCAAGAAAACTTGGTGATGGTTTCTTTGTACAACCAGCAGTATGTCATCAGACGCAATCTTCCTGGTCAGAGACTTGGTGCAAAAGCTTGGTATTGGCACTTTCGCCGATACATCAGTGATGCTTTAAACTGTTGTTGGTGTGTGGAACAGCCTTGCCTTGCGAAGTGCGTGGACGATGGGACCAACAACTGCTTTTTGATCCATGTGGATGATTTGCTGTTTGCTGGAAGCTACAGTTTTTGGACCACCAAGTTCTTGCCAGCGGTGACTTCCAAGTTCAATGTGAACTACACAGAGTTGAAGGAAAATGGAAGCTTCATTTCTTTTCTGAAGCGAAAGCTGGTGAAGATCAAAGATGGTCTATTGCTTGTTCCAGGCACTACAGCGAACAAAGTGGTGTCTTACTTTGAAAAGTTTTTCGGAGTAGCAAAGCAGCAGAAAATTCCATGTGATGGATCAATCCAGAACGATGACAAGTCCCAGAGGTTGAGTGATGGTGACAGCAAAGCTTACAGAAGTGTGATAGGGTTGCTTCTCTACGTTGCGCGTGATCGGGTTGATGTGATGTTTGCAGTGAAGGAGCTATCAGCGCACATGTCAGCTCCTACAGTTTGTGCCCTGCAGAAGCTTCGAGAACTCATTGGCTACCTCAAGGCCAATGGTGACATGGGCATTAAACTATGCATTCCAGAATTTGGAGCTGGAAAATGGAAAAGAGGTGGTGAGAAGTTTTGGAATGTTGAAACATTCACAGATGCAGACTGGTCGGCGCATAAAACCCATAGAAGGTCCACAAGCTGCGCTGTGCACTTCATCAACAACAACCTTGCATATGCCTCAAGTCGAACTCAAAGAGTTGTTTCGTTGAGTTCAGCTGAATCTGAGCTACACAGCATGGTGTCAGGATGCTCAGATGCCATCTTTCTACGTCGCTGCATGGAGTTTTTGACAGGTGATGAAATCGAGCAGTGGCAGTGGGTGGACAATTCAGCTGCGAGGCAATTGATCGAGCGCCAAGGTGTTGGACGTGTGAGACATCTCAGTGGCAAGATTTTATGGATGCAGTCATTGGTGTTGGAGAAGCAAATCAAGTTGGGACAGGTGCCAACGCAGTGGAATGTGAGTGATGTTGGCACAAAGCCTTTAGCCAAACAGCGTTTGTTGGTTCTCTTGCATCAAATCGGCTGCTGCAATCCAGATACCCATGAAATGGTTGGACAGGAGGAGTATGAAGTGTTTGAAGAAAGAACTGTGGGAAAACAAATGGTCAAGCGCATGGCCAAGACTATCATGCGTATGGCAGTGCTATGGGGTCTTGAGCCCAACCTTCAGGGAGCAGAGGCGACAGCTGTTGATGAGGAGGTTTGTCAACAGGTTCAGGCTTCTGGAAATCATGGAGGAAATACATGGCTTTGGTTTTCAGTTTTTCTTCTCTTCATGCTTTGGGTTGGACTTGCGGTAGCAGGATATGTTGCATGGAAGAAGTTTTCCAAGACGACAAAAGACTTGGAATCATGTTGGAATCAGGTTGCAGATGAGGATTCCTACATAGCAAAGCAAGAGGCGAGAATTGACCAAGTGATTCAACGCCTTGAACAAATCAGAGAGCACAATGAACAGGATCATTCGATCATTTCAGATCGAATTACAGAATGCAGCAATGAGTTGAGCATGGTGCATGACTATGCAGCGGGACTTCACTACAGCATGGTCGAACATGGAGGTTTCTTGCGAAACGGATGCGGTCTTAGTCCAGAACAATGGCGCCACCTAGCAACGCTCGAAAGAGCAAATCTGGTTAGCTCAAGGGCTTTGGGTGCAGTTGAGTACATGCGGCTGGTGCGTCAAAGGTTCCAGCCACAAGGAACAGCAGATGCAACAGACAGCCCAAATGCTGAAGCTGATGATCCAATGGATGAGTCAGAACCAGAGGTGCCATCAGGACCCATCAGCGATGAAACTTTGACTGACATGCTTGAATTCCTCAAAAGTGAACATGGACTTTGCTTGGAAAGAGCTGAACATTGGGATGCAAATGAAGTACAACATGTGATCCTTCATTTCCTCTCCGAGATCCACCACAGTTCAGCAGAAAGCTTGGTAGCCTCATGCCGAGTACGCATAGCTGGATTGTTTGGAGAGCTGAAGGACAAAGCAATTGAGCAACATAGATGGGACAGTGCTGACAAATATCAAGCAATCGAAAGCAGGTATACACCAAACCCACCTGCGTGACTCAAAGAGGGAAAATTCCAAAATGTGCCATTACAGATACAAATGCTGGAATGGACGCAAAGCAATGAGTGGAATGCAGCATAGAGTCAAAGACTACAATGCTACAAGGAGGAGTGGAAAACATTTCTGTTTGCACCATTCCCTTTGTGACCACTTGCAGTGATGTCAAACCAATGGACTTCAGTTGGACCTCAGATGGACTGCGCAAGGATGACACTGCACAAATCGAGAGGAGATGTGTAGGTAGATTCAATAGCGTTCACATGAATACCATGTGTATGTACCAGACCCTGTGGTTCAGAGAAAAGTGACGCTGCCTGCTTCGCAATTTCAAATTTGTCCGCGTCGCACAGATACAACAACATTTTCAAGGTAGCAACATGTAGTCATAGCAACATCTTCAACGTGGTGACAAATATATAAACACAGCAGCATGTTCAATGTAGCAACGCAAATACAAAACAACAAATTCAACGCAAATTTCACATTGACACAACATATTCAAACTAACAACGCGTAGATGCAACAACGTATTGTACGCAACAACAGATATACAAAACAATATTTTTTACG